GAAACTAGCGCAAGCATTCACGAGTATTCCGAAAGCAATCGCGCCAGTAAATACGTCTTGTTTCTTATCGACATCTGGGACACCGTTGGCTCAGTCCCGTCTCGGAAACGGGATTTCGCCATCAGCTGGTACTTGTTCCCTCGACTGTTTCCGTGAATAGAGACGGTATAATTAATACTGCGATAAATGGGTTGACTCGCAAATCTATATTATATAATTACAGTAGGATATCTAATTGTTGATATTTAAAAATGCTAATTTCAGCTCAATCCACAATTTAATTTGCATATTGAGTGGCACTCAAAAGCTCTAAAATTCCAATTCCCTTACTTCGCTATGTCGTCGTACCACGTACCTCAGTTGTACGTTGGACATCGCTATGTTTTCTCCCGATTTCTTCAAAGGCAAGGAAAGATCGATGTGAATCGCAGACCGTTTCTTGCATACGCATATAATACTTACCATGTGTCTTCTGAATAGTCTACTCTGCACAGCATAAACAAGAGGATTGGCACACGAATTCACTAATATTAAAACTAGAAAAACCTTATTTATGGTATACATTACATCTGCGTCCAAAACGAAGTACCATACAACATAGAGAATTAAGTTTGGAATCCAACAGATCCCGTATATAGCAGTTATCGTCATCAGCATCTTGGTGATTTTTTTTCTGGATTTCATCACGGATTGTGATAAATTTTGTCTAGGTACAACCTCTCGCCGTAACTGTACTATCGCCTTTCCGTAGAAGAATGCCATAAAACAGAACGGAACTATTCCAATCAACACCAGCCAAGCGACATTGTAACTTAGTGCAAAAGCAACACTTGGCCAATGGCTCTCACAGAATCCGCGCTCGCTGTTAAGACGTCTTACGTAAAATAATGGAATGTTGAAGATCATCGCGACAACCCAGCAAAAGACAACGACGATCTTCAATTTCTTGCTGGTGAAAGTTGATCGGTTTCCCAGAGGGGAAGTAATAGCTGCAAACCGCTCGTACTCACCACCAAACTCATTGCAGACGACGCCGCTCCAACCCAAGTGAATGTGTCAGACGTTATTGTTTTACACAAGATTTCTCCTTGTAAGCCTCGGGGATGATTGTACAGTCCTTCAAGGATATGCCTTGGCGTAAATGAAATCGCTATCATCAAGTCAGCAATAGCAAGATTCATGAGAAGATAGTTTACTGGCGTCCTTAAAATCTTGTTTTTCAGTACAACAAGATAAACCAGAACATTCCCTACCAAAATTCCTGCTATTAATATCGAATGTATAACTGTAGTAATTACGTTCTCCGCCGTCATTGTGTTTACTTCAAAACTAACGAAAGCTAAATCTTTCGTGTCTGAGCCAGATAATAGTTGCTTGGGCCTAACAAATGTAACAAGAATAATTTAAATTAGTTGTTCAAATACTTATATTATTTGTATGGTAATCATTTTATTCAACAAGCCGATTTGGCCGACCGTAAGCAAGACCCCTACACAGTTTTACTGCTACTATTATCCCACTAAACAAACAACCCGTGACATAATAGGCTTTCGACATTACTTCGACATATGAACAAATACAGCTCAGAATGGCAAGTTGTTATCTTGTATGAAGTCGTATACACCTATTTCAATTAACGTTGTCGGATAGAAATGTTTTTTTTAAAAGCCCGCAAGACAAGACCGAAAGGTAGCATGGGTAAGAGTAGAAAACTGCTGCACGCACCGAATACTAATGAGAAGTACCATGTAAAACATTATTTATAACGTTTCCTTTCTGTTTTGAACCTGTAGAAGTAAGCTACTTTTTGCCAAACTCGATTTTAGCAGAATCAACTAGTGACAAAACATGGGAAAACAAATTATCTAATTCGGGGCGAACCAAATACTTCACGTGCGAAATTGTTGATTTATTTTCCACCGATATGCAAATTCTAATGAATACCCAGACTACCATTCGGTCTTGTCTTGTAGGCTTTACGCTTTCTATCCGACAACGTTAATTGAAATAGGTGTATAAATTGCAGAAATGATGCGGCAAATATTCCTGAATAGTAGTCTCTAGTTAAGCCGAGATCATAAAATTATAATAAATAAAAAACCGGCCCATGTAGCTTAATTTATGAATGAAAGTGGCTGCTTCATATTCTGACTGGCAAGCTTTGGTAACTTTGATATTTAGAATGAAAAAATAATATGGGCCAAACAATAGAAAACTCTCGACGACTCTCAAGAAAAATTTTAGCAGGTTCAAATTCAATGAGAGCGCATGAGAGTTTCAGGCTTAACGAGAGTGAGACGTTGAACTGTCAACAACTCTCATCCTCGTTTGGACTGGGGCTTAACCACTTAGCTTCTGTGTACTAAAAAAGGTAGCGCGGTTTTCAACTATAAGACGCGATAGTCACTTCTAATATTTGATGCAGTTTATGATTGAATAATTATATACGAAGCTTCAAGCTTCCATTTTATATTAGTAACATTAGTATTATGTGTAAATATTTAACTATAAAGTACGTCTTAAATAATATTTTATCATGCTCGCTTTTACCGACGTTTCAGAGCCAATATCATACATTTATAACGAGTAATACTGAACGAGCTTTTAACATGATCAAACCGTTCGCTAATGTTCGTTGATGTTCGCTAATGTTGAAGAATAATCATCTAAAAGTTTTAGATTAACAATAAAGGGCGGAGACTGATCGTAATCGGCTCAGTGTTACATTGAAGGAAAAGGTAGTTGAATTTTCCGTAGCTACGAACTAATAAGATTTGGCAAATTTGAAAAGTTAAAAGTTCTGATCTTAGCTACATGCTGGGGTCCCTTTGCTAATATTAATTTGTAATAAATTATATATATATGCATAATATTCAGTCATACATGAGACAATACATGAGACAGTCATTCATTTTTCACCTGGAATGAATCACAAACTTGGCACTTGTTCGTTGTTTCCCCGCCTGCACGAAAGTGCATGTTAGTCAGCCGGTTTCCATGTTTAAACTCCCGTTACTGTCATAGTTCCACTGCATGAATTTCGATTGCATTGGCCAATGATGGTAATATATTAAGTTATTATTATCTATACGACTATATGATTTCTATATCATCTTGCAACACATTTATTGTGCATCGCTCCAAGAAGGAGGCAGCCTCGTACAGCACAAAGTACCTTATTCTCACTTATTTTCGCGAGTATTAATTTTCGCGGTTTTCGCGATGTAGCAAAAAAAACGCGAAAATAAAGACGATATTTTCCAAAAATTTTAAAGCCTTTGAGCCCTTTTTCCCTCTGAAATCGCGAAAATAAAGCCTCGCGAAATACGGCTCTGTTGATTTCGCGAAATTAAGTACACGCGAAAATTAGTGAGAATAAGGTATAAACAATATTTCCAATCCATGCTTGCTTGGACTTTGTTACTTATTTACTTTAATTTTCTATTTTTGTTTCTTAATTAAACAGTGTGTTCCCGAAGACACATCAATGGTTCGTTAGACCCAAATGAGGCCATTATATTTATTAGAACTTTTGCACGGCATTAAGAACTGAAATCGATGGAAATTTGTAGCAATAATTTATTCGCCGAAGACATCGACGAGACAAATTTATTTCTCGAATAAAATACGTGGGTATCAGTGGCACTGTATTTTGTAAGCGTCGCGTGGCTCTGCAGCAGCCAAAATTAATCTCTGGCTCTTTGATTCCATTTGAGGGCAAAGCTAAGTCATATAGTAGCCTGCGTGCAGACGGCTCCTATTTCCGTGTGGCAAGGAGATATATATAGGAGACATATGCACGCAGGTAGTCATAAAGGTGTCATCTACGTTTATTTTGATGGATCTAAATCAGAAGATGCCTTTTGCATGTACATATAACTTTTATACTCTAAATTAAACCGTTTCTAAAATCAAGATGCAAACAACGAATGAAAGTTAAATATGTGTTGATATGATACGAGTGTCTTTTTTTGTCGTTAAACTTACCGTATAGACAACAAATCTCTTTGGGAGAAATTTGTCGTTACCTTTAATGCACCAAATGGAACTACAGGACTGTGTAGAAAGGGTATGACAAGAAGTCTTCTTTATTAAAGGTGGATAATAAACTTGATTTCCACACTAGCTAAAAGAGCGCATTAAAATTAGCATATATTGTTTTATTATTATTATAATTAAATATTTATAATTATTATTCATGGCTCTTTTAAAGTGTATATGACACGAAATTGTTTATTTCGTTTTTTGATAGTTCGATATGTATAAAAAACATTTTCAGCGTTAAAAATATTTGAAAATATTTTTAAATGCATTTTTTTCGTCCAAAATACGCGCTATTTTGGCTCAAAAAATGTCCCCGGCAGCGCGCGGCCAAAAGGTCACGTGACATATGTCTGTGACGTCAAGTTGGCGGTGAGTTACAAGTAGTTCGTAGGAAGTATACGTTGCTGACCAGCCGAAAAAAACAGAGTTTCAGGAATAGTTCAGATGCTGATGGAATAAAATGTCACAGGTTTCATTGGATCCATAAGTTTTACTCGGATAATTGGGCTGTCAAAAGTCGTTCTGACGAGCAAGTTTATGCGGAAAATGTAGGTATATGAGATTCCAGTAATCGAGATGGACAGTGTGTACTGTCCCGAAGTTGGTTACAGTTTTACCGGCAGACCCGAATGGCTTTGGATTATTTCTTTACTGGCATTAGTAAATGAGATGGACCAAAAATTGTCCAGCATTCTGCAATCCCTCCACTACTTGTTGCGTCTCAGGAAAATGCCCTCACTCACCTCTCGTCCCAGTAAAAAAAGGTAAAGCCGTTAGTGGCCAAACTGACCCACACTGATGGAGTTTATCCCGGTTTCTGTAGCATGAAGCTGACTAGGAGTATTGCTTGGGTGGGATGCTAGTCCAACGCCAGGTTATCCCCCTGAATTTTGTCGCCGGTACCCATGAGAGAGGTGCTGTGAGTGTAAAGTGCCTTGCCCAAGAACATAACACAGTGACCCCAGCCAGGGCTCGAACCCGGATCGCTCTAACCGGAATCCAACGCACTAACTATTAGGCCACCGCGTCCCCTACATTAGCTGTGTACATTATGTGGTGTATGCTGATTATAATAAGTTTAATAATAATAAAAATAATAATCATTATTATTTTTTAAAAGAAAGAACTGGAAATTTCTCGATTGGACATCTGTATCATAGGGGAACACAGCTGCGCGTAGCCAAAGGACTGACCAGCCAGTCAAGATATACCTCAAAATCGCTTGCAAAATGGTTTTATGCTGTATGATGTCTATAATTAAAATGAATTATTGTATTATTCTTTAAGAGAATGTTGCAACATTCAAAAGATGCCAAATCTTATATGTACTCCCCCTAGATTGGCCAATAGGGAAGGTATATCTTGGTCATTTGTCCAATAATGCTCTTCCTTGATGCCCCAGCTACTCTATTTAAACAATAGAGTGTTTCTGTCGAGGAACTATCGGCTGATAGTTGCCCGCGGAAATTTTATGTTCTAAAAAACAAATATTAGCTAATATGCTAGTATTTTTAGAACATAAAATTTCCAAGGCAACTACATGTATCAGACCGATAGTTCCTCGATAAAAACACTCTATTTTGGTTATTGTTCACCACTAAATTTTCTTCCGCTCACTCAAAAAACTAGCGTCTTGAATTTTTAGCTCACCAAATCTAAATTTTTTTGGATGAAAGTCGAAATGTAACAAACGAAACAAAATAAGACAAGACACTAGCTAAAAAAGCGAAAATACAAGAAACCCACTAAATGCAGAACAAATATTTATTCATGCGCGCGTATCCAGTGATAGCCTGTCACAAATGTTAAAAATTCGCAACGCACATTGGCTAGAACATTACTGATAGAATTGATAGCAAATCACAATATTTTGTACAATATGTCTAACCTCGTGCCCGTTAAAACTGTTCACTAACGTACAAACATAGACTTAAAATTTGACCTCTGGCAAGGGAGGTTTTACAACAGACCTAAAAGAAAGTACTCAGTTCAGGCAGACTGTCCATAAAAATTGCTGACAATTTCTGATGACTGCACCTGCTGTTTAAATCATGAAATGTTGGTCTTTCGTGGTACGACTCGATCGAGGCATCGCTTTTGTGGCCAGTAACGCTTCTTACTCTGGAATTCTCCAGGCCAGCAGCTTTGAGGATGGTGACTAAGGTAGCCCGAATACAGTGTGACATGAAGTGGTAAGACAGACCTGCTTTCTTACTCATCCGGTCTTGTAAATTTTCCACGGTGTTATTACGACTGATTGAAATTTCTAACACGCTGCGACGCTTGGAGCTTTCGAATTTTGCGTTAAGATGTCGTTTCTCGAGTGAAATTAAATTTGTGTGTACAAAATTCAACTGTTGTGTCGCAAATACGTACAAAATAAGAAATAAATACTTAGCTTTTCTCCTCAACCTCGAAGCGCTTCACGTGCATTTATTGTTTTCCCGTACTCTCGGTTCGAAATGTTTCCTTTGTAAACGCTTCGTTTTCGCGCCTTCTTTTAACTGATAGGATAGTAAATTCTCGCTACTTTTGAATTTATTTCAACTATTAGCTCAAAACTGCACAAAGGGTGTTTTTCGCTCACGCTAGTACTATCGATCCGGGGTTTTTTTGACAGGCCGTTTAACCCAAATTTGGTGTTTTCAGCTTAATTTTCAGTTTTCATGAGATTTCCACTTTTTACGAAGAGTTTCGAATCAAATTTGGTGATTTTCTGACATTTCTGAACAATTTAGAAATCCAAGATGGCGGATATTTTCAAAGTATGACGTTATTTTGGCGTGATGATATCATAATTGATTCGTGATTGTCAATAAAATAAACATGTGTGGATGCTTTACCTACATTTTTATTTTTATAGCATGAATACTTTTCTTTCGAGATCGAGATCGTTTTACCCAAATTTGAGTGATGTTTTTTTGCTTGATTTTTCATGAAATTTTCGCTTTTTATGATGAAATCCTTCCAACATTTTTGCCGTTTTAGCATTTTTATATTTCTTGATTTTTTCAAATCAAATGTGGAGATTTTCTGACATTTCTGAACAAAGAAAATCCGCCATTTTGAATCCTTAAAAATGTACGACGCCATTATGGCGTGATATGACGTCATAAGTGACACGTGACTGTCACTAAAATAAACATTTTTGGATGCTTTACACACCATATAAGTTTCATTTTCATGGGGGGCACTTTCTGCCCCCATGTGTTGCAGGGTATTAAACAGTAAATGTTAATCAGGATGGAATAATGAAGCCAGATTTGCTTGTTACACGAATTTTTATTTCATTTCCGTCAGTTCTGTTTAAGATAGAAGTTGATCTTTCGTTTATTCTCCTTCCTGCATGGAATCGTTCTATTTCGAAGAGACTCGTTCCTACTCATTTGGCTTTGTTTCATAGACAGCCTGTACCAAATAAAAGAGCATCTTAGGAAACTCTATACCGCATTGTTTGTATTCTCTTTTATTCTGTTTTTACACTCAAACCTTACTACACACAAGCTTGTATGTCGCTTCGGAGTTTGACTTCAGTTTCCTGAGTTATTTCATAAAAAAAGGAATGAAAACCAGGCTTGAAACGTAATTCCCAAAGCTGAATCTCAGTGTTTGATCACGAATGCCAACCAGACTGAGGATCAAGAGAGCTAAGAGAAGACATTTTGGGTAAGGGAAGGTAAAAAAACCGGCGAAGAAAAGTCGATAATCTGCCCTTGGTTATCGACATACAAGCGAGCGCTGTGTTTGCGATTTCTGCTCAAAATCCCGGCGTTTCAAGAAGCCACATGGCCAGAAATCTCGGACATTTGAGCCCGCGAAATGTTCGGCGGCTTCTATACAAATAATGTTATTCAATATGGCGACCGGAGCGACTGTTTTATCGGATAAAGATAAATCTAGGTGGGAAATCGGCCATCATTCCCAAGGCAGACCCTGTTTGATTTCTGGAAACATAAAGAACATATACCTAATAATTACTAAAGGTCACATAAGAGTTTTGTAAGGCCTTGAAACTGGAATTTTATTAAAATTTCCCGCACAAATTAGCTCGCAGATATGCTGATCCTAAAAAATAATTAATTTTCGCGCCTTCTCGTTGTTTTTGAGGGAGCCTGGGGCTTAAAAGAGAGGTTACAATGCCAGTAAACAAAATGGCGAATCGAGAAGATGTTTTTACCCGGTTTAAAGATCATTTCGTTGCGTTCTTTTCGCGCTGAGCCATATTTCAACATCTCAAGGAGCGGCAGAAAACATGAAAATTGCAAGAGAAAAGTATCTTAAAAACGCAACGGATATAAACTCCCGAGAAATGTCATCAACTGTGTCTTAAAGTGTGGCTTCGATGGATTGAAAATCCCTGTGAACAAAGTCAAAACTCTCACGAGTTCCAGAGAGAAAGGTATTTATCGAGAGGTGGTGATGCTGTTTTCAGCCTATCGCCATACTGTTGCTTTGATAATGTCACTTGTATCGTAAAATTTGAAAAACGCAACGATTACAACTTGGAAACCTACAGTTTTCTGCCGGTCTTTTAGGTTTCGTTGATTGCTAACAGGCTGTCTTTGAACAATTTGGACTTCGCCTTGGATTAATGAGGTAGGCTTGATTTTAAATCTGTTTTCTTAGTAAAATCTCTAAATATCGAGGCCATTTCGCGACATGAATCCCATTATTTGAAAGAAGCCGCCGAACAAGTCGCGGGCTCAAATGTCCGAGATTTCTGCTAATTGCAGCACGATCAGCCAATTAGGAGCGAGTAATTTTTCCGCTCGCCCAATCAGGATTAAGTAATCATGCCCTCGATTACCAAAATATGTCCTTGATTAAGAAAAAATGCCCTTTGTCAAATCCAATCAGAATTCAGTAATTTAGACGTCCATGTGATAAATATAATGCAAATGAGTATACTAATATAGTATACTAATGCAAATGAGACAATCTGATTGGCTGAGCTACTCGTACACTATCAGCCATTAGTGTGCAGTGGCTGGATGTCGTCTACAAAATTGCGGTTTCTTCTCGTTTCTCCGAAGTTTCGGAAGAAGATTTAGAGTTAATACCAGACAATTGTTATGATTTTTACTAAAACAATTAGATTATGAGCTCGAGATTTCTATGATGTGATAGTTGATGAGGCCGTAGGCCGAATCAACTATCACATCATAGAAATCTCGAGCTCATAATCTAATTGTTAATTAGTATATACCAAACCAGTGAATAGTGTTTCCATAAACGAGGCCGCTGCACGTCACTGTGTTATCAAAAATACCTGAAGATATTTAGAGGTGATCATTTGTAGCAAGTTTAGTCGTGTCACTAAATAAAATCGCCAAAAATGTCGTACAAAATGTTTTGTTTACTATCGAGAAAATAGCTAGAGTAAGAACGTGACAACGCTCAGTTGTAAATAATTTCGAACAGTTAAGTCTTTGAAGTGGTTCCAAACGCTGTCCAGTCCAACTAACTTTAAAATGCAATTCCTACCTGAAATCCTGAATACAGCAGTGTCTTTCAAAAAGCAATGCAAGAAGTCCCTGTAATTGTTTCAATCCTGCCAACGATTTAGTTTTGTATTAGGAACGACTAATCTCGGTCTCACTACGCTAGAAAATATTCTTGTTGCCGTATTATGATCAAGAACTGCCCAAATGCTGTGGCTTCTCCAAACTTTACTGCTTCTCCCCTCCGGTAAATTAAAAGCAGTAACATCAGACGGTGGATGCAGTCACATGTGAGAAATAATTGAACTGGAATTACGAAAACGTCTTCGGTTAGGCAGCATCTTGACCATCTTGTTCAGTTTATAACGGCACTTGCAGCTTCAACATCAGTTTCTCAGGCAATAGTAACTGACAGAACTTGTAAAATACGAGAAAATATAACTCGTCGCTTTTGGTCCATCAGTAAAAACGGAAAAAATAATAATTTTCCCCTTGAAATCCTCAAAGTCCAACATACGAGACATGTTGATCGCCTGATGTTGTCATGTGACCGTTTCCCGCGCTGTCCTTGGTCGCGCGTAGGGTTCC